TGAAGTTAGTCACGAGATATCCTACGGTTGTACGGACATCAATGGTCAAGTATACTCGTTTGTGTATTGTTGATGATAGCGACGTAGACATTATGCTTGAAATTCCTTCTATTCATGCTTCAATTAGTAACATTGAGTTGTATGTTGAGACGAAGTCGTACCCATTGAAACAGTTGAGCGTGATATTCGAGGCATTGGTTCGGATGCATTTAAGCGAGTTGACCACTCAAGAAGATAACAATTTACTTAATTCTCCTCCACATTTTGATAGAAATCATATTTCTTCTCCGAATCATCCAACTTCTTCAATTGTTGGTGTAGTGCATAGATATGATCATGAAAGTGATGCAAGTGTGGATGTGACTACAATACGGCGAATGGTTGAACATGAAAGTACTCGGTATATTTGATGGTATGCATGTGAATAATAACTTAATAGAAGAAGAAGCTGATGTGGGTGAGGAAAGAGAAGAATATGAAGAATTAGAAGAAGAAGATGAATACAATAAAGTTGAAGATGTTGCTATGAATATGACATGTGATGATGGTATGGTAGATTCACAAGAGCAACCTTTTTAGAAGATTGTGGCTTAGAGAATGAGCGAGAATCAACCACGACATGAACCGGACACATCTTACTTCAAAAATATAGATTGGGTAGATACTCGCTTTGGTAAGTAATTGGACTTCATTACCCCAAAATTGTAGATGGAATCCTAATGATGAGTTGATTAAGGGGTTAACCTTTCAAAATAAGGAAGAATTATGGAGAGCAATAAAATTGTATTCTATCAAGTGACATCGACAATATGAAGTTCTTGAAACTAAAGAAAAGGTATGGAGTTTGAGATGTAAACGACATAGGGAAAATGGGTGTAAATGGAGACTTCGTGCATTCAAACGGAAGGGTCATGGATTATTTGAGATTACGCAATATGCTCGGTGCCCATACTTGTGTTTATCCAAGTCTTAGTCGAGACCATCGTCAACTAGATGCAAAATTCCTAGCCCAAGAAATAGAAGGTCAAGTGAAGGTACAACCATCTATCTCGATAACGACTTTACGTGAACAAGTGAAGTCAAAGTTTTACTACGGTGTTTCTTATAAAAAGATGTGGCATGCAAAACAAAAAGCAATCACAAAGGTGTTTGGTGACTGGGATACATCTTATCAAGTGTTGCCAAAATTAATGGAAGCTATTTAAACATATAATGGTGGCACCATTGTAAAGTGGCGCTATGATCTTTTACGGGATCCAAATTTAGCTTAGTTTAAACGTGTTTTTTGGAGTTTTTCAGCATCTATTGAGGGGTTTAAGCATTGTCGACTCGTTATTAGCATTGATGGAACATATTTATATGGAAGATATACGGGAAAGATGTCGATTGCAATGGGAGTTGATGCAAATGGATAACTTTTTCCACTTGCATTTGCTATTGTAGAGGAGAAGTCCTTTGATAGTTGGAGTTGGTTTCTAGCTTGCATTAGAGAGAAGGTTACCGATCGTAGAGGTATTTGTTTGATATCGGACCATCATGCTCGGTATTCTTCTTGTAGTGAATGAACATGGTTCAAGATGGAAAGAGCCTTATGCGTATCATCGTTTTTTCCTAAGGCATTTATGTAGTAATTTTAATGATAGATTTCATAGCAAACATTTAAAAAATCTTGTTTACGGAGTCGGGAGTGCACATCGAGCTGAGGAAGTTTAATGCTATTATGGATGAAATTGAAAAAGCTAATTCGAGGCTCGAAAATGGCTAGAAGAAATTCCTTGGGAGAAATGGACATTAGTATATGATGGAGGTAGACGGTATGGAGTGATGACAACTAATTTATTGAGCTATTCAATAGTGTGTTAAAAAGAGCTCGTAATTTACCAATCACTCGCTTGTGTTCAACCGACATTTTATCGATCGGTAAGTTACTTCAATGATAGACGAAAACTTTCAAAAGAAGCTATTGATGATGGAAAACTTTATGCTCCTCATATCCTAGCAAAGCTTAATGCAAAGCTAAGCGTGGCTAATGCACATGAACTCGTTCCATTTAATGAGAACAGAGAAATCTTCGAAATAATAACGAGCACCCCATGGTGAACGAATGCAACGGGGTCATAATAAACAAGTTGTTCGACTAGATAATGGTAAATGCTCATGTGGTAAATGGCAAATATATAAATTTTCATGTTCTCATGTATTAGCGAGTGTGTGAAAGATTGGCTCTTGATAGTTGGCAATTTATTGATAAGTATTACGGTATGCAAGAGCATTTTCATACATGGGCACCACGAGTTTCATCCTATTATTCATCAAGATTATTGGCCGGAAAGTAGCATTCCAAGATTATATCCCGATCCCGACCGTCGACGAAAGAAAAAAGGAAGACCAAAATCTACTCGCATTCGGAATGAGATGGACATTCGGGAAGGTCGAGCCACAATACATTATGGATTGTGTAAACAACCGAGTCACGATCGTCGAACTTGTCCATCAAAATAATGGTAATTATATTTTTTTTAATTCGAGTTAATATATTTCATGCTTTATAGTGGATATGCAACTAACTTATTGTCTTTTTTTCTTAATATTTTATAGTTCATAACTTTTGGATGTCAAACAATGATATGCAACATGGAGTTCTTGGTCACAAGATTCTTCAAAAACATGTTCAAAATCAAGATAACCTTTTATTTATTTTTCTCATATTTTAGCGCATTTTATTCCAAAACTATGCAGTACAATTATTTTAATTAGTCGATTCTTTTATCTATAAATGTAACTTTATTAAATTTAAAGTTAACATTCAAGATTATTTATTGTTTATAAATTTTTAAGAGTACTGTAGAAATTAAAATCAGCATTTTATTATTACTTTTTTATGAGTTTTCTTTGTTTCAATTTACATAATCTGGTTTGGCTGTACCTTCCATGAGTCCTGAAATAGTACTGAATTGGCAAGAGTCTTGATGGAAACTCCACAAGCAAAAATCGAAAAGGAAAAGAGGGGCTTATTATACAAGTACCCTATTTTTAAAAAAAAAACTTAGCTGCTCAAGTCATGCTTTACTTCATGGGATAATAATATCAGCAGCATTCTATTAATTATATCTGATAAATGCCATGACCACTTAAAGTTTGAGAGAATGTAATGCACAGAGTGGCTAAAATTTTCTAAGAGATTCTAACTCTTGTATCTCAAACTTGTACAAACCAGATCCTTTTTCAAATTCCCACGCCAAGATAGCTTCCTCGTGCTTGCTTCTGCACCAGATACATGGGGTATTATAAATTAATATCATCAAACAAAAAGATAACACAACAGCCATAAGGCTATACTCTGCAGGACAATAATGCAGAAGAATATGATTACACATAGCATGAATCTGTTTAAAATTAGTGCATATCAAATTAGAAGAGGAAAAGATGAAGGAGAAACACATTAGTTTACAAAATCCTACAATTAAAATCCTCTCAGATATGACAAAATTACACCATTAGTTAAAGTTCAAAGTAATTAGTTCAAAATTACACCACTAGTTTAAGTTCAAAGTAATTACATCATTGTTCAGTGGCTATATTCTTCCTATTTTAATATATAAAGAATAACTAGAAGTAAGCACAAGGGAAGCAACCTATCTATTGGTAATGAACCAGGGATTTTCAAAAGCTAGAAGCATGCATGATATATATGGTCGTGTATTAAAATTGTACAAGCAGTAAATAATTTACTTCTTTTCACAAGCTTAAGCAATACAAGGAAAAAACATCATTTCGTCAGCAAGCATACCTCAAAGCAGAAATTGCCATTTCCATCTGTCTGTCTGACTTGAGGTTTGACATTCTCAGGTCCATGGGTCAAAGCTACCTAAAAGTCATACATGAAAATATTTGAAAAAGTAACTATGCAAGTGTATAATAAATAAAGAAAGAAAACGTAATTGAAAAATTACTTTTACTATTCTATCACATTTTAATTGAAAGAAATTACCTTTGCCTTATATCCAGAACCAACCATGCTAACGACACCACAGACATCATAGGAGATTGCTTTAATATCTGGAACTGAAGCCATATTGGGCAAAACCTAATCAAAGAAGTAGAAACATTAAAGTTAACCAAGTCTTTCAAGTTCATCCTTCTGTAGCATACTCAAGTTTTGCACCCCTCCGATCTCTTCTAGTAATCTTTCAATTTCTAAACACTCTGATATGTCAAGAATGTTCAGATTATTGAGGCCCCCAATTGTGTGTGGCAACTCAAGCAATTCTATACAAGAACCAAGTCTTAGAATTTCTAAATTAACCAACTTGCTGATTTCTCTAGGCAATGCAATCAACTTATGACAATTGGTGATGCTGATTTTCCTTAGCTTGATAAGATGGCAGACCTCCGGTAATGAACTCCACCAGTTAGGGACATTGTTGGCATGTATCTCCAGAACTAGTCTTCTTTTTCTGCTCGATGGGTACCAAGTCACTTTGATGGATAGTTAGCTCTCTCAGAAGATCATGCTGCATAGCAAAGTGATGATTATAGCAGCCGCTTAGATCATTCCTGGCAAATAACCATATGTTGATTGGTTAGGGAAAATCACAGAATTCATTCTTTTCGTACTTCTCTAAGATTTTAAGAATCAAACCAGTAGAAAGGACATGAATAAAATGTCAATCCAGATAATTAAACAAGAAGAGAAGTTTTAGTCAAATGCTTACCTTGTGACTACAAGATTAGCTAAATTTCGATTAGAGAGTTCCTGGATTTTGGCAACGGCATATGGTTCTTCATCTAGCTTGTACAATTCCATCCACATATCAATGAGGGCGTTAACAGGAATCCTTTGATCCTCAGGATTCGTCGGTGACTCAGGGACTGCACTTGAAGCATAAAATCCAATTTTTCTCCCTCTGCTCGAATGCTTGCCTGTTACTTCCATCAAAATCTTTTTGACATCCCTTGTTGTTTGCCCTTGCATGATAATCTGAAAAAAACAGCTTAGAATGGGTACAAATATGTACCCATCTTCATCCCTGCTTGGTGAAGACAAGGAGGAAGAAGCTACGACGGCCACACCTAATACAGAGGGTGTGGGTCTTGTTCCTCCTCTTACCAAAACTCCCTGTTCCCTTCCCCTGCCATTGTTACGAACACACACTTCATATTGTTAAAGGGAGGAGTTTGATCTTTCTTCAAATCATCACCACCGCCATTGTTATTCGAAGACCCATTTTCCTTCTCTTGTTCTGGTTCTTGAGTTAGGTTGCTCTTGTTGGTTTGTGCAAAGAGGAAGAATCTTGGATGTATTTTTCTGGAGATTTTGAGAGGGAAATAACGGAGAGGGAGGGTGGGTTGGGGATGGAGAAGAGTGGTTCTTGAAAATGACGGGATTGGTGGGCGTATTTGTGCCCTAACATTTTGTCTTAGGCATATCAGAGCATTCCAAAAAAAATTTGGAAAACGAAACATGGCAAAATCTTTATTTTTTTCATCTTGATTAATCAGGAATTAAAACAAAAAACAGAAAAACAGAAGAGAATTTTGGGTTGTAAAATGGAAGACGAAGAACTTATAATCTAGGATGATAACATAATTTTTTAAAAAACAAATAAAGCTGACGCGTAAAATAATTTATTATTAATATTTAAAAAACTGACATGTGTAAAAAATTTAATCTATGTGGCAAAAATTATCTTATTTTAGTAAATAAGATTAAAACAACCTTGTTTTTGTAAATAAGTTTTATAAGTACCCTATTTTAAAAAAAAAAACTCTTATTTAATATTATAACTATTAATATTATTGTTCTTCTATTTAATGCCAGAGAAAATTACAATTAAAAAATTTAAAACAAAACACTATCATTTATTTTATTTCTTTTCTCGTACCAAATGCTAAAACAATTATGCTTATATAGAAAAATAATGAATAATAAATTCACCTCGACTAATAACTGTGATAATAAGTATTAGTATTAATTAAAATTATTTAATACCATAATGATTACTTCTAATCAATATTACTATGACTGTTTTTCTATTTTCCAAAGAAAATATTAAAAGTCAGTTATTCTTATATGACATGACAGTTAAAAAAAAAAAAAAAAACCAGCTTCTTCATGACACATATCATATGTTAGAAGCCCACATCTCGTTACATGTTAAAATTATTTTAGCCTTCAAAGATTAAGACCAATTAATGGAGGTTAAATAATCAACAATAAAAAAGAAATTATTGCATCCAATATCATTATTATTAATGTAGACATTAAACTGTAATTAATATAAAAAGCAAAAACCAAATGAAGCATCACTAGGAAAAAAAAATCAATGCAACGATATCAATGGAAGGATATTACTAATAAAAATAAATAAATAAATAAAACACAAAAATATTTAATGCAACCAAAAAAAATTGAAATTATTAATTACAAATGATAGTTATGGTGATACCGATGGTGGAGTTGAAGGTGGTGATTGTGGTAGAAATAATTAATACATAATAAATTAAAATAATATATCATTATTTCAAAAGAAAAAATAAATTTTAATTTCATTTTTTATTTTATTCTCCTTCCTCAATGAGAATGAAATTATATTTAATTTTTATTCTCATTTTCACTCTTAATTTTCATTCTCGCAATTTGAAACATCATAATTTTAACGGATATCATTTTTTTTTCATGACGGACTCGCTCATCTATTTCTCTGAATCTCTCTCTTTTAAAAATAAATAAATAAATAAATAAATGTTCTAAATCTTCTCTGAATTATCCCACACAATAGTTTTGTTTCTTTTTTTCTTTTTTTCTTTTTTAAAAAAAAAACATGTTAGCACGATACTTGTCATGTGTTTGACATGTAAAAAAGTGACATATCAGCATGATATGTGCCAAGGATAGGAGACACATTACTGCTCACTCACACATAATAATCTTTATATATATATATAAACTATGTCAGCATGGTAAATGTCAAAAATATCCTTTTTTATTATTATTGCATAGACAAGTGAAATAAAAGGAAGAAGAAAAAATGGATATTTTGTTTTGTTCCATTACAACCGTTCTGAAAATTACAAGGTTACACTATTGAGAACTCGAATTAGGAGGGTCAAGATGAAATACTATTCTTTTAAATGAGTGCACGGTTAACTACTTTTGCTAATTTTTTTTTCTTTTTGGTTCTTCTCGTTGGAATGTTTGTTAAATTTTAAACTATAAACTGGGTAATTATTTCTTATTATATTATTACAGAATTTATTAAAGTCGTTAAAATTCAAATTTTATTTCATTTTAAAACTACTTGATACATGATTATTAAATCAAGCTTATTTATGTAATAACTCAAGAGAGTTGGTCAAATTGAAAAGAGTTCTAGTCACTTAATTAAGGAGTCTTGAGTTCGAATTTTTATTTATGTAAAAACCTTTTTGGGTAGTTGTTTTTGTCTTGTACATCTAAGCGAAAAACGAGGGATTAATTTAAACTTTCAGATTTGAGATATTCCGAGGATTAAAAAAAAACTTATTTGGTAAATAAAAAAATCCAGCGAGTATATAAATAAAAAAATAGGAAATTTTGTTTTATTATGTTTTTGAATTTTTAATCAATTCTTATTTTAGAAATTTTATATGTGTCCCTCCTCCTCTTTTTAAACAAAATTAATGAAAAATTAGTTTGACCATGAACGATGGACCTCTACTTCTTAATAGGCCAACCTATAAAGACTCAATTACCTAAATTAAAACTACAAGAATGAATTTGTCAAACAATGCTATAGGCAAAAGTATGAGGTAATGAAAAACTTAGTTCTTGTACTTATATAATTTTTTTATTCAACTATTTTTACTTCTTCTTCTTTTTCTTTTTTCTTTTTTTCATTTGAGTGCTTATAACTTTATTTTTTTCTATTAACCGTATCTTAACCGTATTTTTGTATTTCGGTCAATACCTTTATTTTTTTCCAATTAGGGGTCTCTATTAGGATCTCGGTCAATTTTTTATAGTGTTTGTTAAATAGATATATGACATCTTTATTATGAGATCCACTATGTTCATATAATTGAGGTAAAGAAAGAAAAGAAAGAAAACTAAAATTTGAAAATAAAATTAAAAAAAAACAAAAAGGATGAAGTAAATAGGAAGATGTAAATCATATTTTTGGTAGAAAAATCCATCATCCCTTTCATATGTGAGTTATTAAGAAATTCTAAAACATAATAATCTAATGATAATAATAATAATAAAGAGAAAGAGACTAACATTGTGTTTTATTGAGAGAGTAATTATGATTTAGAAAATTAATTAGTTAGTTAGTTGTTAGTGGTTAGTTAGTTGTTAATATAACAACTTGTTAGTTAGTGGTGAGATGTAAAGGATAAAATCCTCCTTGTATATATACAAAAAAGATACCGATGAAATAAGATACCGTAGCATTTTCTCAAATTCTTCTCTTTTCCTCTCGTTTGAATTCTAAGAAACGTTTCTCTTTCTTGATTAAAATCTTGAGTTTCTTTCCCAAGATTCTTGAGTTTCTTTTTCAATCTCATTTATTCACATTTTCTGAAATCTTTTTTTTTTTTTTTGGATTTTTTTAAAGATCTTGTTCATATCTAAGTGTTTAGCATATTCACATTTTTTTGAGAAAATTTCTTTAAATCATGGAAAATCAAACTCGTAATCTCTACTTTCACATAATCTATTACGTATAGAGATCTTAACGATCCTTTATTTTTACATCCTTCTAACACACCAAATTTAATCCTTGTTACTCACTTACTCCAAGGAGAAAACGATTACGAGTTCATTGAGTAAAGCAATGGTAATCTTTTTGGAAGCAAAAAGCAATGATGGATTTATTAATGGAAGGTGTTCAAGATTAAGTTCGATTCACCTAATTTTGCTCAATGGAAGAAGTGTAATGCACTAGTTCTTGCTTGGTCGCTCAACTTTGTTTCGCCCAATTGTTTAACAACTTGGTTTATTATCAATATGCTCGAAGATGTGTGAAAAGATATCAAAGAACGGTTTGACAAGCAATATGGAGCAAAGATTTTTTTCCCTACATTAGGAGATTAATTCATTAGTTCAAGGATTAGATACTATGGCAGCATATTACTCGAAGTTAAGGCATTTATGGGATCAAATTGATTCTCTCATTCCTCCATCTCGCTTGTATCCGCCCATATTGTCATAATGAAGTCTCTCAACTTTTTATTGCATACATATAACAACATAAGGTGATGTAGTTTCTAATAGGTTTGAATGATGCTTTTCACTCGTGAGTTCTTAGATTCTATTGATGCAACCTATGCCAACTCGTTCTCGGGCATATTCCATGGTTTCTAATAAAGAATAACAGAGAAGAATTAGTACAATTCCGTGTGCTCCCATTGCATTTTACTAGACCGGAAATCGGTACTCAATGAAGTAGTATAAAAAAGAACCAATTTGTGATTATTATCATATACTTGGTCATTTGAAAGATACCTATTACAAGCTCTATGGATATCTACATGCTCTTTAAAAACCATTTGGAAATAATAGAGTAGAAAAGGTGGTTCTACAAGTGTTAAAGATAGGTAAAGGTCTTTTAATGCTCATAATGTGAGCTATCTTAGAGAGAGTATCCGAGAGTACTAATGCACCAGCTATGTTGTATGATAGTCCTCTTTTAGGAGCTTCACTTGGACAACTTGTAGAGCAAAGTTCCATGAACACCTTAATAAATAAGGGATTCATACTAGTTTTCTCTCCTCATCAATATCAGCAGATACTTGATCTATTATCCAGAGAGTCGGACAAGAATATTCAGCCTATGACACCTACTACAAACATGACGGTACATATTTATGTAGCTTGCTTAATGTAGAATCCGAGAATGATGATGTATGGATAGTAGATACAAGGGTTAATGTCCATATGATCGGTAGATTCAATTGCCTAGTTAATCCTATAAAATTAACATCCGATTACCTTATGGCTCTATGACTCTAATCACTATTGTAGGCTCTATTTTTCTTCCAAATTTATTTATTTATTTTTTTTGAAATGTGTTGTATCTGCTAGCTTTCAAAATCAACTTATTATCGGTAGCTAAATTCACTGCTAACAATAATTACTTCGTATGTTTTTACCTTAACCTTTGTCTATTTTAGGACCTTTGGACGGGAAGGACAAAGAGGATTGGTAAAGCACGCAAAGGTCTCTATAATGTTTTGCCAACTACTTTTTCAACTTTGCCAAATTCTTTCCGAACAAGTTTCATCCTAATCATTTTGAAACATTTTATAATTTGAATTCCGTGATTAGTAAAACCATTTTAGATTAATCTATGCTTCTTTATAATACTATTGATTGTAAGACAAATTGCCCTTCTAATCTAATTTTTGG